TGTGTGAGACTAGCCAAAAAGAAGAGGGTAGCCCAATCCAAACAATCTCTTTAGTAGGGATTGGGGGTATTGGTAAGACTGCTCTCGCCCAACTGGTCTACAATGATGAAAATGTCAAACAACATTTCCCTTGTAGAGTCTGGACATGTGTTTCAGACATTTTTAATGAGAGCAAAGTCGCAAAAGCAATCATTGTAGGGCTTCAAGGCCTTGAAAAACAATCAATCCTCCAGTTGGAGTCAGTTCCATTAGATGCTCTTTTAGATGAAATTCGCAGGTCCATAAAGGGAAAGAAGTACCTCCTTGTTCTAGATGATGTATGGACAGAAAAAGATAAAGGCTTTGAAGGACTGAATGCTACTTTCAAATGTGGTGATCCGGAAAGTAGGATTTTGGTGACAACACGTAAGAGTACTGTCTCAACAATTATGGGAAGTTCACACACCATTCAATTAAATAATTTGAGCCGAGAGATATGTTGGTCTATCATTAGGAATGTAGCACTAAGAGGAAAGGACCAAAGGACTTGTGAGGAGTTCAAGCCAATTGGGTTGAAAATTGCAGAAAAGTGCAAAGTACTGCCGCTTGTTGCAAAGACTTTGGGAGGCCTCTTGCGGTTTAAAACTGGATTACAAGGGTGGGAAAATGTTTTGAATAGTGAGCTGTGGAGAATGGAAATGGTACAAAAAGATGTTTTTGTTCCTTTGTTGTTGAGTTATTATGATTTGCCCTCACCAGTAAGACAGTGCTTTAGATATTTAGCTCTTGCTCCTAAAGACACGTCTTTTTATAGTTTTGATTTGATTTCACACTGGATGGCACAAGGTTTCTTAGACTTTGACCATGATGATGATTCACCATTGGAAGTAAAAGCCTTTGAGTACTTTCAATGCTTAAAGGCTCACTGTTTCTTCCAAGATTTTGAGTATAATCATCAACACCTCATCTGTAAGATACATGATTTGGTACATGACTTTGCTCTCTTTTTGACAAGGGGTGAGTTTATGACATTGGAGATCTCCAAAGGTAATAATACAAGTTCAACGATGAACAAAGAAAGAACTCTTCGATATTTGACAGTGGTGGTAGAAAAAGGTCTCTATTTTCCTGAATTCGTTCCTAATGTAGAAAAATTGCGAAGTGTTGTGGCTTATAGGAATATTGGTGGTTATAAGAATATTAGTCACGATTGTGCTGCCATCAGTGAAAAGGCCATGTGTAATTTTTTTAATCAAGCTAGACGCTTAAGGCTGGTGGAGATGGTTGGATATGATGGTTCAACTATTCCAGAAGAAATAAGAAACTTATTGCATTTGAGATACCTTAACTGGGCTGTTAGCAGAAACCTTGAAAAGTTGCCAAAAGCACTCTTTCGATTGCACAATTTGGAACATTTATATTTGTATTGCTGTTATAATCTTGAAAGACTGCCCGATGAGATAGGAAATTTAGTCAACCTGAAGCTTCTTCATACCGAAGGTTGTAACAAATTAACTTGCCACCCAAAGGAAGTTGTGAGATTAACTCGACTTACACAATTATTGGGGCTCATTGTGAGAATTGATCGTGACGATCCTGAAGAGTTTAGCATCGGAGATCTAGCAAATTTAAAAAAACTTCTCGTGCTTTCTATGAAAATAGTGGGAAATAAAATCAATGTGGGCGAGGCTAAAAAGGTGAAGCTTCAAAATTTGCAGGAGGTGAAGAT